TTTCTTTCCTCTTTTTTGGAAGAGACTTCGCTCTTTCCCAAACACCCTCAAGGAATGAAATCACGTGAGCCCCCAAAGGGGGCGGGGCTTTTTGTCCGGAGGAGAGAAAAAAAGAAAAAAAAGGGGGGGGGAAGGGCCATTTTGTAGCTTTCCCTGCCCTCGCTCCCCTTCTTGTCGTCCGGCAGGCAGAGGAGGGGGAGGCTGCGCTCAGGATCGTGGCCGCTCTAAACCTGCCGTAGCTACATTTTAATTCGAGTTTGGTTTAGTAGAAGAGGGCCTGTTGGGGGGGTTGCTTCCCCCCCTTGCCGTCCCATCTCTATATATAAATATATATATTTTTGCTGCCTCGGTGAGCCCCTAGAAAGGAGCCGGGATCAGGTAGGGTTTGTACATTTTTCCCTTCCCAAATCGACTTCCCCACCTTTTTTTTTTTTGGCTTCGGAGGGGTTTCCCTCCCACCTCGCCGGCGCCCCTTTTCGGTCTCCTTCTCCCTTTGTCACTCGGTCTCTGTGTCTCCTTTTTCTGGTTCCCCCCCCCCGTCCTCCCTCTGTATTGCTTTCAAGATGGCCGATCTTTTCTCTCTCTCTCTCTCTCTCTCAATCTCTCTCTCGGCATTGGGGAGCCTTCCCACCTTCTCCTTCCTTTGTTGCCGTTCTTGGGGTTCTTTCCTCCCCCCCTCCTGCCGCGGGGGGGGAATTTCCAGGAGGGGTCGCTTCGAGCCTCCTAACCTTAAAATCTCAGCCGCCACCCCCCCCCACTCCGCCACCCCCACTCTGCCGCCGCTTCCTCGCCCGATTCGCCTCCCCTCCCCTCCCCTGCTTGGCGACTCGGAAATCGGCGTCCGCTTCCCTCCCAGCCGGGCTCGTCCGGGGCTCTCCTGCTCAGCGATCAAACCCGGCTGGCCAATGTCCGGGCCGGAGAGAGAGACCTCGACGCTCTCGCTCTGTCTGTGTGTGTGCTTGTGCGTGCAGGCGCGCGTCTTTGATGGAGGGGTGGGTGGGTGTTTGATGCTGTAGCAGATTAAAAGACGCTTGGCAACCCTATCGGCTTTATATGACAGCCAGCCTCTTGTCCCAGAATCAACGTCTCGGTTCGGGGATGGCTCCCCTTCTTGTGTTTTTTTTTGGGGGGGGGGAGGTTCTGGGAAGAGAGGCAGAAGAGACCTAAATGACAGGCAAAGATGTGAGCGCAGTTTTTTCTCCTGCTGGGGTGGCCAGGCCCAAGCGCTGTGTGTATGGCGCGGGGGGGGGCATGGTTGGTGTATTTAATTGCCTCTTGGAAAGGGTTTGAGGGAGGGGGGGACAGGAGTCAAAACATGGCGCCGTGGATGTGCACAAAATTGGGAAGCGGGAGGCGGGGTGAGAAGGGAAAAAATTATTTCTTTATGCCTCCTGTTGAACCACAATCATGATGGTGCCTTTCTTTCTTTCTTTCTTTCCTTTGCGCCGCCCCGGAGAGGGTTAAAAACCTGATCTGGGAAACCTGGAGCGAGAAAGGGGTGTGTTTCTGTCATTCTCCAAATCATAGAGGGAATATGCTTTTCGGCTGTTGTGGGGAGGGGGGGGTTGGAGAGAAGGGAAGGGGTTGGTTGGTTGCCTTGGGGTTGCCAGATCGGCGAGGGAAGGGGACCGGTCCGAGAGGGGAGGCGCAGGGCATGAAGAGAGAGAGAGAGAGAGAGAGAGAGAGTCGAGACGCAAGAACAATATTTGGGTTTGACTGTCGCGGGGTTTGGCGAATAAACGCATCAGGAAAAAGAACGGGGGGGGGGGGGGGGGGGAAGCCGGACCACGTCGAATAGACGAACAAAATGCCGAGGGGAAAATCGCCCGGTTGCATCTTTTTTTTCCTTCCCTTGGTAAATAAATAAACTCTTTGTCACCTTCCCTCTTCCACCTTTTTCTGTCTTTTTCTCATTCGAGGGTGGGTGTGCTGCGAAATAACACAGGTAACTCTAAAACAAAGGTGAGGAGGGTATGTTCTCCCCACTCTCGATTTGCCATAGCCGTCAGTTCATTCCACCCCGACCCTCTCTCCCCATTCAAAATGCTGTTTTCCCTCTTTCCAAAATTAACATCTATGATTTATTGGACAAAAACAGTTGCCTTTGGGCCCCCTTTTTTCAGATTTGTACCTGTAGAAGTCAAGAATAGAAAGACTGCTGCCCCTTCTCCTCTACAATGTAATAAAAATACAGTACACCAAATAATGTACATTTTCTAGAACTCGGAAGAAAGTGGGGATGGGACTCCAGCGCTCATATTCGATCTCAGTTGCTAGAATGCAAGAGGAAAGGACGGGTGTCTTTTCCGTATTTAAAACCCAAAATTTAGAGAAAAGGGGTTGTTTTTCTTTGTGGGCTTTAGAATTGTAGGAAAAATATTTTCTTGTCCCGCCTGTCAGTAATACACTCCTAAATTATGCGAATAAGTCGTGCTGGACATTCGCTTCTTAGGTTGTAGAACCAGAGAAATGAATGCCGTGGAGGGGGGGAGAAAGAGGATGATTGGCTTCCATAGATTCTCTAGGTTCCAAGACGATGAGCCTGTTCTTGGACTTTCTGGAGAGTCTAGGACCCAGAGAGAGAGAAAAGAACACTGTAATGGAGAACTGCAAGGCAAGGAAAAGTCCATCCTTTCTATCGTCAAGTCAATTCGGACACATGACGACCTTTTTCAGGGTTTTCCAGATAAATAGCACTCAGAAGTGATTTGCCATTCCCTCCTTCTGGGGGCATCCTGAGTTTGTGCAGCTTGCCCAAGGCCACAAAGGCTAGCTCTACTCGCAGGAGGCTGAGTGGGGACTCGAACTCCCAACCTCAGATAGCTATTAGGTCCAGTCAGCTCATCGTTTCTATACACTCCCGAATAAATAAACAAGTACAAGAGGTTTCTCCAAATGAAGTTCATTCATAAAGTGAGCTTGAATCTTTTCCCCATCGCCGCAATAATTTCTGGTGATACTAAGAGGAGAAGCCCCTCTGACTTTTGTGACATGAGGGTTTCCGTCTTTTCAGCATTTGGTAATTGTCGGGTTTTTATTTATTTTTTAAAGCCCTCTTTCATTTCCCCAGCTGTGCAATCCGTCGTGCATTTATTCGCAATTAAATCCCATTACATTCTGTGTGAACTTAACAGTACTTGCTTCCAGATCCGGGTAGCGAGG